AAAAAAAAAAGAAACTAATAAAACCTTTGGGAAGGCCTTCATAGGAAGATGTTGCTTAAGCTCAGACACATGCTAACAAATCACTTTGCTAACCACTTCCCATGTGCCAGGCACTGTTTAAGGGAGAAGTTGTTTTGCCAGGCATAGTTCATTTTCCTTCATTAATGTCCCTGGAAGGAAGACTTAAATACATCCCCCACCTCAAACCAAAGGGAGCCAGAGCTTTCCTGACTCACCGGTGCAGTGGCTGCTCACCAGGTTCAAAGCCCAGCGGGCTGTCAGATACGGCAGGCCAAACTCAATGAGCTCAGTGTTCGGCACACACTCTGTAGATCTCACGGTGATCATAAACACACTCGGTAAGAAGTAAAGCGTGGGCAGGCCGGAAGGAGATGTAAGCATGGGCACCGCAAAATGCTTTACCCCTGTGGGAACAATAAAAGAACATGCCAACCTCTTCTCTAGTTATCTGGAAGAAGCGACTCCTGTGTGGTTCATTTCTGCTTGGTTTTCTCTGCAGAGAATAGCGGGAAGTCTCCAGTCCTCTCCCAAGGCTTTAAATTTGCAACATTGTTAAAATTCGGCTCTCCCTCAGGCCAAGAAAAAAAGACACCCCCCCACACACACACACACAGGCAGGTGCTTGAGGGTCCCCTCACCCATCTTACCAGCCTCATACCAGAAGACACCCTCCTGCTTTCTGAGCAAAGTACAAACTAGCAACGGGATGCCACAGGAGGGAGAGTTGAACAGCCCGTGAGGCAGAAGAGGGACCCGTGGGCCACTGGCTGACTGTCCCTTTGATCGCCTGCCTTAGTGGCTCTCCTACACTCCACACAGGCCGCAGAAGGAGCCAGTGTCAAGGAATCCTTTCTGGGGCTTCCCTTTGTCTCCTTCGACATAGAACGTGGAGACATACCCTTAGGACTTGGATCCGGATGCCAGCGCCTCTATGGGCAGTGGTCTTCGTAAATGGATGACGGATGGGTAGATGGATGGATGGATGCAAGGTTAGCAGGTAGGGAGCATACAAGGGGAGTTGAAGAGTTTACCCTCTGAGAAACAGAAATCTGTTTCTATTCCTGCCTGCCTAAAGGCAGAAGTAGAAATAAAGGGGGAAATGATCAAAAAGAATAGGCATTGATAGGATCTAGAAAGAAGCACTATAGAGCACCATACAGTAAACGAAAAAGAATGAGACAAATGTACACACACACACACACACACACACACACACACAC